TAGTCGGGTCCGACAGTGCTGCAGTAGCGCCGACTCCAGCGGATTCGAAGGTTGCAAAGTAGTGGATTTGAAGGCAGGATTCGAACCACTTGAAGTAGTCGTCGGTATAGACGTAATGAAGTCAGCTATTGGATCCGCCACGCTGTTAGTTTCAACAATAGTATATCTGGGTGGTGAAGTGCACCGTCCTGCTGGGTTATGAGGTATGGGAGGGGTGGAAGATGAAGGTATTCCCCGTGAGAAATGTCCAGCAGTGTGGGAAACCAAGGTTGGCGTGGCCACCAAGGAGTAATTAGTATCCCCATGGCCCGATCGCATACAATCTTCGCTATGACTCTCATCACCAGAGAAATCAGTGGGAAGGCGTAAAAATTCAGGTTCTTCCATGGAATCATGAAGGCATCCCCTAGGGATTCGCACCCGATTCCCACTCTCAAACAGAAAGTCGCACACACCTTGTTCTGTTGGGTGGCGAACAAGTCCACGTCGGGAAACCCCCAGTGATGAAAAAGGTCCTCACGTGTCTGGGGATCTAGTTCCCATTCGTGAGAGATGAGCATGCGCCTGCTGACAAGGTCCGCTTCCACAATGTCCGTACCGGCCAGATGGACTGCTATCATCGTAATGTCTTTCGAAATGCACCAGTCCCAGATCTGCATAGAAAGTCTGGCCAGGGTCAGAGATTTCGTCCCACCTTGTTTGTTCAGATAAAAAACAATGGCTATGTTATCTGACGTTATCTGAACAACCCGATGTTGAAGAACATCTTTGAAAGAGCGTAGGGCTTTGAATACGGCCAACAGTTCCAGGAAGTTGATATGATTTGTGGATTCCCGATGAGTCCACGTGCCCTGAATATACAGGCTGGAGCATAATGCTCCCCAACCCAGAAGAGACGCATCGGTACCGACTGTTATCGATGGGCATCAGGGCCTGAAGGGGACCCCAACAGTCAGATTGTCTGGGACCATCACAGTAGGGAATGGAGTACCGAGGATGGGACTTGAAGCAGTTTCGACAGTGGATCTCTCTGTGGGTGGAACGCTTTGTTGAAAAATAGCTGCAGAGGACGAAGTCGCAGTCTGGCGTGTGGTACCACAGCAACGGCAGAAGCCGTATGTCCTAGAAGCCTCTGGATGGATTTTGCTGGAACCGATCTGTCTCGTCGCATTTGATGGACATGGCGAGCGAGAGTCAGTTGTCTGTCCCGAGGGAGGAATGCCTTTTCCAATGTCGAATCCAAGTGGGCTTCGATGAACATAAGCTTCTGTACCGGAAGGAGAGAAGACTTCTCGGTATTAATGCATAGGCCCAGATTGTCCAATAAGGCACAGGTAATACGGATAGAAGTGAGGAGTGCTTCCCTGGACCTGGAGACCAGGAGCCAGTCATCAAGGTAAGGATAAACTTGTATGCCCTGGAGGCGTAGGTAAGCGCAGACAGGGGCCATGCATTTAGTAAACACTCTCAGAGCGGTAGCCAAACCAAAGGGTAGAACCATGAATTCGTAGAAATTTGAGGCAACAGCAAAGCGAAGGAAACACCTATATTTGGGATGGATCGCTATACGGAAATAGGCATCCTTCAGATCCAATGAGGCGAACCAATCCTCTTTCCTTAGCAGCAGCAAAATATTTTGGAGAGTGGTCATTCGACGAAACTTCCTCGTCACGATGAATTGATTCAGACTACCTAAGTCTAAAATCGGACGTAGGCCACCATCCCATTTGGGAACTGTAAAATATCTAGAATAGAATCCGTGAAGTCCGTCATATTGAGTTACTTGACGAATCGCTCCTTTACGAAGAAGTTGTTGTATTTCATCGAGCAGTACCGGCGAGCATGATGTAAACCGGATCGGACTCGATGGAGGAACAATGTCGAATTCTATCCTATAGCCGTGCTGTATGATGAACAATACCCACCGATCAGATGTGATGGACTCCCAAATGGGGAGTTGGCGTTGCAGCCGGTCCCCAGATAAGAGGGGGGTGAGTATTAGAGGAATGGTTCGCCAGTCCCGTCAACGCTGCCTCCTGTTGTCATATCGGCAGTGACCTTGTTGGTAGCGTTGTTGGGGCTGTTGTCGGCGTTGTTGTTGTTGTTGTTGCTGCCTGTGCTGAGGATGTTGCCTGGGATGGTAAGGCTGTCTGTATGGCGGACGGGTCCATGCCCACTTACGCCTCTGTTGCGACTGGAGCTCCATCCGTCAGGCCGTCATGCGGGACTCATGAAGTTTTTTGAGTTTGTGATCCGTCTTTGAATGGAAAAGCCCGGACCCGTCAAAGGGCATTTCCTCGATTCAGCGCTTGGTCTCTTCCGGGAAGTTGGCGCTGCTCAGCCACGCATGCCTGCGAAGGGAGACGGCACCAACCAAGGCCCTTGAATTGGTGTCCACATGGTGTCTGACTGTGGACAGCTGTTGAACTGCGACGCGCATCGCCTCCTTAATTAGCACCTTGGCCAAGTTGCTCTGATGGTCTGGGAGGGTCGAGACAACGTTATGGAGGCATTGCATTATAAAATACTGGTATCTCGCCAACGTCGCCTCGTAGTTCGAGATACGCAGCCCCAAGCCTGAAGCTGCATAGACCCTCCTGGCCAGGAAGTCGATCTTACGGCCCTCCTTATCTCGCGGAGCGGTGTGGCCTCTTGCCTCTCTACCCTGGGAGGACTCCACCACAACCGAGTTCAGCTTGGGGTGTCAGAGGCGGAATGGGATGTCCTCCTCCCGAACCCGGTACATGGCTTCGTACCTCCGCGATGTGGGTTGAGGGTGAGAGGGCAAGTCCCATGGTTGCATCATCGCCTGCCATAGGGTGGTGATCAAGGGCAGGACGATCGAGGTGGACTGCTCCCTGCAGACGACGTCATAAAATTTATCCGTCAACAGTCCTGGGCGCTGGATGGCGTCAATATCCAGGGACTGGACGAGCCTGGACATCAGCTCCGCGAAGGAGATGTGAGACTCGTCCGGTGACACAGGGCCCTGGGAGGTCACCGCGACGTCAGGAGAGGTGGAATCAACGTCCGAGTTGTCAGAGTCCACGCCATAATACGGAGGAGCCAAAGTAGAGGACTCCACCGGCGAGACGGACCAGCTGCTTTCATCCCGGGGAACTGGGGATGCGCGCCTCAGATCCAGCGGCAGCGGGCGATCGCAAGAGCATGGTAGGGATCGATCCCTCGGTGCGGGATAGTACCCGGTAGAGTATGGCTCGCCCCAAGATGGATAACAGGAGCGACGCCATTCCTTGGATCGTTGTTCCCTGAAGCAACTCCTGCAGGCCCTGGGCGGGGATCCGACCACATCCGCCTCCATTGTGGCCATGGGCATAGGCGTGAGTGACCTAACCCTGGGGGAAGAGTCTTGAATTTCCCCATCAGAGAACGATCCCCACTGAAGAGGTGGAAGCGGCTCGGTGGAGAGGTCGGCCACACGCCGAGGGGACCCTTGAGGGGTGACCCTCATGGCTGCCTGGAGTACCGGCTTGGGTGGGATCGGTACGGTAGCTGCCGCCAGTGCCAACACAGCTGTCAAACCCGAGTCATGGTGCTGTGGCTGCTCCGGATCCTTCGACTTCTGGGTCAGTTTAGGCGGCTTCTCCTTCCTGGCCTTCTTTGCTGATTTATCAGTATCAGCATGTTTGCGCTTCTCGCGTTTCTTCTTGGGAGAAGCAGGTGGGACCCTCAGGGCAGAAGCACCTTCGTCCAAAGGGCAGGAGGGCAGGACCACCGTAGCTGGGCCAGGCTTTGGAACGACGAGTGGGTCGGACTGCTTAAGAGCCCGATCCCACAGGAGCCTCCGGAGGTGGTTCTCCCAATTTTTCCTGGCCTGCTTCGAGAAGGTCAGGCAGTGGGAGCACTTGTCGGTCCTATGCCCCTCCCCCAAGCAGAGGAGGCATAGGTCATGCGGGTCAGATGGAGACATCTTCGACCCACATTCCGCGCATTTGCGGAAAGCCACTCGCTGCGCCATCGCAAGAGGAGGAAAAAAGAAGACAGTGCAGAGGGTAAGAATATATTTTTGGTTTGTTTTTTTAATAGAAGAAGGTAGAACAGTAGAACAATATGATAGAACTATAGAACAGGAACTAACAAGAACTATAGAGATAACAAGAACTAACAGGGATATAAAAACTGGGAGCTTAATAAAGGAGAAGAAATAGGCTACGAGTAACGGTCAGAGTGATAGTCCAAAGCGGCACGAGGCACAGTGAACGGCGGTCGGAAAGACTGAACAAAATGGCGGACGCTTCACTCTTTATAGGCTGTGGGGGAGGGGGAGCGGAGCTTTCCTGCCAAAAAAACCGTTAGCTTGTAATCTTCCGGCCAAAGGCACTGCGCAGGCATAGCACCCATGTGTGTGATGCACAGAGGCCACGACGAAGAAACTTATCGTCTAAGAACTTGGTTCCTTATCATGAACCTTAAATATCAAGCAACACAGGTTTTTATGAGAGAGATGCATTTTTGTATTATAATAAAATAGCATCTTGTTAAACTCTGCATTAAAACACATTCACCTATAGAGGACATCCTAGGTCAATTAGGAGCATGCAACAAGCAAAAGTGAGGATTTTAACTTTTTAACTCCCAAGCTGATTTGAAATGGACTGGGGTTGGGTGCTTGTCTTAAGAGGTGTGTGCTGTGCACTCTCAAGAAGTAAGTAACACTAGGAAGCCACCGATATATAGCCCAGGCAGCAGCAACAGATGGAGAAATATGGATTTATGGCTAGTCAAGCACACAGACCAAGAGAATCCAAACTTGGAGTTAATGAAGGTTCTTCTGTGGTCTATTTTTGTAGCTGCTAAAACACACAGCTGTACTATAACAATCCCCTCATCAGAGAGCCAGGAATAGGGCTTACAAGAGATGAGGGGGAGAGAGATAAACACTGCTTTTGCTGACTGACGTTTCCAAAGCTCGACACACATGCTTTTTCAGAGAAAAGCTCAAGGACCCTTCATCTAGATATGTGCCAGGATATACTTACATAAGCACAAATACCAGGTAGTTGAAAAAGGGTGGAAGAGAGAGAATCCCGATGGGAATGACTTTCATCACATCTCTCCGAAACTACCAAAAGAAAAGAGTGTTTAGTAGCATTGCTATGTGCAAACCTGAAGCTGCTCCATCTGGGAGGACCAGGTGATAGATGGATGGACAGACCAGTGGTGTGTGAGGCAATGCCACTGCATCTTCTCTCACTGCCTCCAAGCACTTAAAGCAGAAGCAAGTGGGTGGGCTTGTGAGATCTTGTCCAGCCAGGGTGACTTAAAGAGGTCACCATGGTTTGTGGCACTTGCCGGAGACCTGTGGACATCTTTTCTGCAGCCCACCTCTGCTTCTAGGTGGTTGCACTGCTCAAACCTGGCAAGGGTGGGTGGTTGGCATGGTTAACAAACATGGTTAATAAACAAACATGGTTGAAATGGCAGTATTTCCCTCTTTGGAAAATGAACATTCTCTTGCCGTAGGAGCATTCAGAGTATTCAGGCTGGGCAAAACCTCAGAGCCAGGTTCAATGTTGCCCGCAGCACAATGGGGTTTTATTTTATTCATAAGGTTGAATCTGGAGGAAGCGCCTTTGAATCCAAGCCATTCACTTTTCAAAACAAGTAGAAATTGCAGCACATCCATCACATGTTTTAATCATCTGAAAGTATAATACCAAGCCATACATCCACTGAACATGTTTTGCCTATACAATTATTCGAGTCCAATGATAGAACGCACTTGGGCATCCTCCCTAGCATGAAAAACAAAATCCGTTACAAAATCTTACTCCAGAAAAGATCGTCCATACTTTATACCCCTTTGTGATTTCCCTGGGTTGAACATAAAGTGCATATTGTGACTTCAGCCTTTTTTTAAAAATTAAGAAAGATATAGCTGCATTCTGTCTGTTCAGTTATGCTGTGCTCATTGGTGGTATCATGCAACAGCACAAATCTCTTTTGTTGGATTATTGTAATTTTTAGGCAGGTGTATTACATAATAGACTCAAATCAGCAACAGTTTTAGGGACCAGTGATGACCATCACAGCATGATACCTTTGCATCTGTCCTACAGGACTCCACTGTGGCAATGTCAAACTGACCTCTTTGTAAATTTCATGGATTCTTATGCTGAAACCCTATGAGCTGTGTTGAATAGAAAAGGAACTGACCACCTAAATTTTCCTGCTGGAAAAAATGCTTAGATGGACACCCACCAAGACAAGAGGTCAAGATTCTTCTTCTCCGTTCTTCTCCACGGGATGTGTTACTCTTTCATGAATGAAAGAAGAGCCATGCTCAATCAGGCCAATGTCTCATCTAACTCAGGGTCAAGCACTGGCTAACACACTGCCACTGGGAAGCCACCAAACAGGACATGAGGACAGTGACACCCTCACTCAGGGTTCCCCAGTTACAAGACCAGAGTCATACTGCCTTGGATATTGAAGATAATGTATAGCTATCATCATTTATTTAAATCATGTATACCCGATCTACATCAACAGCATTACAATACAGCAGCACAAATAAACAGAATATAAACATGTAATACAATCCTATCATTAAAATAGCATTAAAATATCAGGTACATAAAAAGGTTTTGGCCTGGTGCATAGCCACTGATTGCTTCCATGATAAATGCTAAGCATGCAGTGCTTACAGAGCTTTTCAGGACTTGGGTCTTATCAGAGACTGCTGCGAAATGACTCCCGTGTCACCAGTGGATGAGGACTCCACCCCATGTGGATAAAGCACTGCCGGCATCTAACACATACATGCAGCCTTTTGGCACAGGTGCCATCCACACCTCGTCCCAGCTGATTTATGAAGGCCGTAATCTTTTTACAACGAAAGGGAATCTCCTCTAATCTGCTGCTAATCAGAGATGAGCCTTTCCCCTGATCTTGTTCTGAGAAGAGCCTCTGACAACACTGGGACAACAGACGAAGTATTTCCAGTCTGCAGCAGATTGAAGGTAAGCCCCTTCCCTCTCCGTTTGCAGGTTCAGAGGACATGGGTGGTCCTGGGGAAGAAGCTTGGGGAGCCAGTTGGGAAGAGTCCCTCAGGCTATTTATTCATTATTTATTTATTGAAAGCTTTTCTATCCCATCCACTACAGAACGTCTTGAGGCAGCTTACAATAAATAAATAGAACAGCCCCACAGCAGATGCTATACTTGATCTGGCAGCTCCCCAGGGGTCTGAAGTTCCCCATGACTCTCCTTTTACCTTCCTAAATCTCCTGAGTTAGTTATAAGGTATTAAACAAAATACCTAAGAAGATTCCCTACAACATACAGAAAATTTAGTTGTTACACATAAATGGCAGCTGGCTAGTAACCGATATGTTTTGAGCAGCAAAGCGTGTTTCAAGTGTAATGGTCAGGTGTTTTGTATTGTACTCTGGCAACAGAGAAAGTTAGATTAAAAGTTGGCTGAAATCAAGTAACTCTGATTAACCTTTTACTGATTTGCATATTCTAAACTACCTAGAGGTCCCCAACTTATTCTTCCCCAGACCCAGTAAATCTGCATTCACGTGATTCTACTAAAATGGGAAAACAACTTATCAAACAAGTTCTCCAAGAAGAATCAAACAAGCCATGCAAAATCCATGCTCTTGCATTCAGATGGTTTCTACTCCTAATGAGAATTTGCAGTGTAGTGGGCCCAAGGAGATCTGGGTTCAAATGTCACTCAACATTTCAACTTGCTGATGATCTTGGGGCAGTCTTACATAGACACCCAGCTTGACCTATGTTAGCAAATAGGATTTTGACATAATGTAACAATACTAAGAGAGTAAAGGGAGAGGAGGACCATGTATGTTGCTCTGCACTTCCCAGAGGAAAGGCAGAATGAAAAGAATAAAATCAATTAGTTTGGGGATGGGGAAGAGAGAAGCAGGGTTTGGTTGTTCTGATACTGTCGGTTTCTTTATTTCTGTATTCCTGAAGATAAATGCAAGAATTTATGTGAGATAATAAGGTAACAGCAACCCTTTTTATGATGGTATCATCTCGATCTGTACAAATTCAGCCACAGAACCCTTCTGCAGAAGCAAATTCAGAATTGGGAGCCTTCAATTGTACATTTTCACCAGAAGGACTGGAGAACTGACTGGAATCCACCTGGGATCTCCAAGGCCCACTGAGTTCATATGTATAAAGGGACAGAAGGTGGCAATAAACAAGGCCCTCCTGCTCACGCAGGTGACATGGTGCTACTGTAAAAGATCTCTTCCTGCAAAGGCAATAGCATGAGCTGGTGTGATGGGTTTCCCTGGAACACCCATTGCACTAGCTTGCACCGCTAGTGTTGCACTAGAGGTTGCTTATGCTAACACATCATCAGTGGTCTAACTTCAGTGGCTCCACTGGATATAGAACAAGGTATATTAGTATAACATTCTAAATGAAGGAGCAGGCAATTATTCATCCTGTCTCTGAACTGAACTTCTGCAGCAAACCAACACTGTGGACAGAAATAAACCTGCTTCCAGTTCAGGTGTATCTTTCTCAACATCTTGTTCACATTGTGTTGTAAAGCTCTCTAATATCGCAGTCCACTGCATTCTTACTCGGGTGCTTGGTTGCAATGTATTCAGTAGAGCTTACTTCCAGGTCAGCATCTTTAGGCTTACGGTCTTATGTGCAGGCAGGGAAGGGTACTAGAATATTTAGGGTGATTCTGCATGTAGGAAGAAAGCTGGTTGCCCAAGCAAGGGAACTACACTTTGTTCAAAATCTATCTGTTAGTGCTGAGAAACAGTGCAGTATTTCAGATGTAACAGATTCTTAGGAATTCCACAAAAAACAACCCGGAGTAAAATAAACCCACCTGTCTTAGTCTTTCCATCTCCCTGTAAGGAAGTTGATTGAATTTTATATTTTTATGGGCCATGTTCATCTTTATTCTTCTTATTTCTTTTACTTCTGAAAAGAATACCCGAAACCCTGCACAAAATATATAGGTATTTTAAGGTCCAGTGTTTTGGCACATCTTAGTAGTTCATGGCAAACACACTCCTTTCCAAGTCATCCACCCTGCTTTTATATGACAGCATCACAGACCCAAATGGCAATTCCTGGCCTTCAGCAGCTTCTACAGGCCTCATTTTGATTGTCTTGGTCATCTTCCTCCTCATCATTATTAAATAATTTATATACAACTTTCCATATTCAAAAATCACAAAGAAATTGTAAAATCCTGATTGAGCTCATCATTTCCCCTGCTGCTTTAATGGTGTCAGGGTATGGAAAGCCACACGGCTTGGTGCTTCTCAAGTTCTTTACAACTTAAGCCACATCGAGGCTGTCATAAGGATGGCATAACCCTTGATACACCCCAACCAGTTTCGCCAACTCTTTCTTCCTCTCCTCCTTACAATTAGTTCCCAACAAGATGCCACCTCTTTTATCTCAAGTCAAGGTGCAAAATCCACTTCGTCCTTCCTCAACAGTTGATTCCGAGTGCTCTTTTCTATAACTCTAATTTAGCTAAATGTATTCTGTAAGGGACTGCACTCCGGACCTTACCATATTGGTCCATCTTACTGTTACACCTTCATCTCAAATTAGACTGCGAACTCATTCAGACATAGAAAGAAGCCATGAATTCCTACTAGAACCACCTACAACAAGTCTGAGGTTCTTGCACTCCCCCCCTCTCCAATTCTTTTGCATTCCTAAAACTGTCGTTGCCAGTTTTAAGCAAGACATAATTTCCTGTGAATCCCATACACAGAGCACTTGCTATGCTTTGCTTCATGAGAATGTCAAGATCAACTGTAGTTTCAAATCCTGGATTATTTGCATGACCTTTAGTTTAAATGAAATACAGCTTTCCAAGTTTGGCCATCGGAGAGAAGTGTGGTTAATTAAAAATAAAAAGTAAGTTTTGAATCTCATCCTCATGGGCACGAAGGAGGAAACAGGAGGGGAGAACATGCATGTATGATGCTCAGTTTCCTAACAGTAAACTCTTATTTCCCATTCATCATCACCTATTATATAAGGGGACATTTCATCAAACAATTTCCCTGCGATGCAGATCATTGTTCTCCTACCCTTGTAACAAGAGATTGCATCCAGAAGCTAAGCAAGGATACAAAGGACCCCCATCTCCTCTGTGGACATTGGAATGATTTGTTCCGACAGTACCACTTGACAGCTGAACTCAGAAAACATGCTCAAAGATTTATACGTACGTCTGCCATTCTTTCTTCAAGTGAAAACCCATCTTTTAGAATCAGAATTATTGAAGAATAATGATCAATTTAAATTACTTATTGAAAACCTAATAAAGACCTGACAGATTCTGGGGCTTATATACCTATATCCTTGATAAAACAAGATGCAAAAAATTTACAGCAATATTTGCAAAAAGATTGAATAATACTGATAAATAATATTAGGGTGGATCAGAGTGGTTTTATAGGAGACAATGAGGGACCTGCCTAGAAGAGTATTAAATGTAATAGAAATTATATGTAACAAAAGGTTAAAAGCCGGTGTAATGGCATTAGATATTTTCAAAGCTTTTGATTGTGTGGAATGGCCCACAATAAAGATATTGATAGAGATATTAGGATTTGGTGCATGATTTAACATATAATAAATCAACTATATTCAGAAAAAAACTGCAACTGTGATAGTTAATGATGGTCCAACAGAACAAATATCCCTAGGCCATGGTATCAGACAAGGATGCCCTCCTTCCCCAATATTGCTTGCTTTAGTTATATAATTATTAGCAAATAGTATAAGAAATGATGGTATCATAAAAGGTATCAGATTTAAGAATAAAATTAAGATTAATTTATTTGCTGATGATACATTGTTTACAATAAAGGACCCACCTAAAGTTATGGATCAGGTTAACATTCATTTAGCAGAATTTGGAGAGATAATGGGTCTATACGTTAATTGGGAAAAATCTGAAATTTTATTTATTTATTAAAACATTTATATCCTGTCTATACCAAAGGTCTCAAGAGAAATGATGCTGTTTAACTGCAATAAAGAAGAAAAGGAGGGAATTAAGAAAGATACATAAAATTATTAAATACTTAGGTATAAGCATTTCAAAAATGCCCAATGTTTAAAAAAGAATAATTTTGATATAGTGAAAGCTGAAATGAAGTACAAAATGCATCATTTAGGAAAATAGGATTGTCCTGGTTTGATAGAATAGCACTATATGAAAATTTTACCTATGTTTATTCCGGATGTTACAAATTAAGTTATTAGGTCATTAGAAAAGTATTGGAAGATTGGAAAAATATGATGAATAAATTTTGTAATGAGGATAAGAAAGCAAGGATTGATACAAAAAGATGGTATAAATCACAAAAATTAGGAGGATTAGGTATTCTGAATATTAAATTATATTATGTATCAAATCAAATGAGGTACATTTTGCAGCCAGTAAAGATAATATGGGGAGAGTTAGAACACCAACAAACGGAGATTCCTTCTAAACCATTTTTTAAAACAGGATGACAAGAAGATTGTAAGAAAGATAGAAACCCCCTTTTTAAAAAATGTGGTGCAAATTTAGGTTAAGTATAGAGTAAGAATTATGTTGATAATCTCATCTCTAATTCCAGTCACAGAAACTGAAGGATTTCCAGAAAACTTGAGAGGTAGTTTGGGGAAAGTACTGAAGGGAAAACAAGTTTTTAGGTTAAAAGTCTGGTTGGAGAAAATGGATGAGGACAGGCTAAAGGTGATATTAAAAAAAGAAAAATTAATGGTTTAATGTTATGCAGTTAGAACAAAGGACTAAACAATGGATGAAAAAAGAATAGTAAATGTAGAGATCATGGTAAATTTGAAGAGATTGTTTTATATAGGAAAAAACAAGATATTATGCAAACAAGAGGGATAATAAGTGAGATATATAAGATTTTATATGACCCTTTTAATGTTTCATGGGAAATATTTAGGGAGGTAAGGAAGAATGTGAAAAAATGGGATAACAGAATACTAAAAAGTATTTCAATCACGATTAAGGATTTTTTTTGTAAATTTTAAAGAAAATGGTACTTGATACTAGTGAAACTATATTATATGCATAATAAGTACTCCAATCTATGTTGGAGATGTGGTTGAAAAATGGGTACCTATTTCCCTATGTAGTGAGAATGTGAAAATATTAAGAAATTCTGGAAAATGGTTTTTGGGGAAATTAGTGAAATGATGACTCTAGATATTGAAGCAGACCCTTGCTTTATTGTGAGTATCTTATGAAAAGAAATGGAAAATTAAAGAATCACAAATTTATTAACAGATGTAAGATTAATAATAGCAAATATCTGAAAAGAAAAACAGGATTTCCAATTAAGTGAATAGCATAAATGATACGTTAATGTGTAGTATTAAGGTGGAAAAAGTGTTAATAAACCAGAATAATTTTAATTATTTTGGGGGGTTATTGAACATGTATTAATAAGAGGAAAGGCCATCAAACCTTCATATGATTTAATGCAGTTTTTGATGGAGGGGGATAGTCCCGAAAGAGTAGTAAAGGAAGAGGATATAAATAGTTATTATGTAGGCAAGGTCCCAGTGTGGTGGTGCACTTTTTATGTTTAAAGGTGTTTTGTTTTCTCTTTTTAATTGTTTGTTATTATATTTTTGTATCATATTGCATGGTTATTACTTAATAAAAATATATTTTTTTAATTTTTTAAAAAAGAAAACCCACCTTTTATAAAAGTAGAATATAGCTGATAGAAATTTGGGAATGTTCTTTCCAAAAAGCTTTCATATTTTGTATTCAAATATTTGACTTTTGAAACCAAAGTAGACAGGAGACTTTTAGAATTTGTCCTTGCAGAATATTGATAAGCTGGAGATCTGTAACAAATAGAAACATACAAGCCTGACTGCTATGGACACATTAAACCTTTTATACTCTTTCCATTATGAAAACAAAACATTAAATCTTTTATACTCTTTCATTTATGAAAACAAAAAGTCAGCTAAAGTAAGATAGGACTATACATCTGGCTGATGCATAGTCTAGTAGCATGGAATAGAACTAGCCTTTAATGTTTACTGTGCAAAAAGTTGGAACAAGTTTTCACGGAAATCAGGGACAACTGGATAAGTGCACAATTCTGCCTGTTTCTAATAGCTACCAAAAGCACACCTACACCAAAACCTAGCTGCAAGGCTTGTTCTTAAATAAAGCCTTAACAAGAACAAACAATTAACAGATGATGTTCTTATTTTATTATTAGTACCATTTTAAATTCTGTCAGAAAAAGAGTGACTTTGCTTTTTATATAAAAGCACATAATTGCAATAGGCACTTTTTTAACATGCTTGATTCTTGGTGTCAATAATATAGGAAATTTTACCTTTTTTTAGCTACCATTTTAAGTCATGTTGAAAGCAAGCACCTATTTGACCCAGCTCAAACACTGCCTTGCCAAAATTAATTTGCAAGTACTTTTTGACCTCCTTTACTGACTGCACAAAACAAGGAGTGCTCCACATGGGACCTGAAAAGGAGGCTATTAATTTTTAGAAGCATCATGCATTAAAAGCAGAAACCATTCCCCGCAAGTAGAAAACCAGCACGTTCAGGTAAAACCTCCTTGCTGAGTTAGTTTTGCAGGCACGTTTTTGGGTTTTGGGCGTGTTGTGTAAACCAAGGGATTCCTTCAAAAGCAGTATGACCTCCGCCTATTTTGCGGGTGGTGCCACCCGTTCGTTCAGGTTTTTGCAGTACGCTTACAGCAGTGTCGCCAGGTGCAGCAAAATGAAGTGCTGCATCCTGATGCGTCAGGATAAAGCATAAAGCATCCTGATGCGGCCGGGACTTTGCTTAGAGCTTCTGGAATGTCGTGGCGGCGGCGGCGGCGGCAGTCTTTCAAATCCAGTAGGGGCTGCCCGTGCCTACAGCCTAAAGTGGCGGCCCGTTCTGATGACCTCGCCCTGCTGCACGTGTACATTGGGCCCCGGCCGGCCGCGCTGCGACGCGTGTCCGCGGGGACTCGGCTTCGGAGTCCGCCTGCGCCTCCGAGAGCGGCCTGGGGGGCAGGTGCTGCCGGAGCACGCGCAGATAGCCGAAGGGAGCCCCGAAGGAGACGCTGCCGGCGAGCGCCTCTTCCTCCCGCGGCCCGCCCCTGCCTGCTCGCCCGGCCCGGCCCGTGCACTCACCGCAGCCAGGGGAGAGGCTCGGGCGGGCGCAAGCCCCGGTAGAGCGCGGCGGCGGCGGCGGCCTGGCAAAGCCCGGCGCGCGAGCCGAAGCGGCAGCAGCAGCGCCAGCTCCGCAGCAGCGCCATCCTACAGAGGCCGGCCGGGAGGCGGGGAAAGCCAGCGGCGCCGGGCGGGGGGCGCGAGGGCGATTGGCGCAGAAAGGCCCCAGCGCGGTGGTTCGCCCCAAAACTGCTCACGTGACAGCTTCGGGCGGAAGAAGCTGCTACGGGAAGAGAAAGCAGCGCGAACCTCAGGCGGGCCCTGTACCGCAGGAGCACGACTCCCTCCCTCGCTCGTCCCGCACGCTCGCGGTTTCAGAACCGCGAGGTCCACCCACCGGAGCCTGCTGCGAAAGAATTAAAGTATTCCAATCTCAGAAATTTGCTTTGAGACCCAGGAAGGAATGCAGCAGTTCACACACCTTTCGCGCAAATATCCACCCCTGGTTACCCGCAAGTTTTCTTCATTTCAGCAGCCCTAATTTAGGAAAGAGAATAGTAATAGTGCTGCTGCTTTTGCCAAACATTGGGATCCTTGGTAATCTGCTGCGAATCACAAAGAGATTTACCAATGAATCCTTGCTTCTTCCTACCCGTTACAGAAGCGTTCTGAAGATGCTAATCCTGAGCCTTAGTCTGCAATTCTATACCTGTTTATCTAGGAGTATGTCCAGCTGCATGTAGTAGGACTCATTTCTGCATAAACATGTATAGCATTTCAGTCTTGTGCAGCAAAACCAACCAAGAGTCCTGTGGTCCCCCAAAGCTAACACATTTATTTGTGACATCAGCTTTTGTGTGCCACAGTCCATTTTATGAGCTGGAGGGAAGTGTGTGCTGATGGCTTGACCATTGGTGCTGCATCTGCCAAAATGATCTTTGGCCTCCACAGGCTTTCACCACTTTAGAAAGCTGAACTGAAATTGATATGACCGAACTCAGCAGTTACTTTTGTGCTAAGCCTCTTTGTGGCTTTGTTGCAATTTATGTTTTTATTAATTTGTTTAAAAAGGAAAGCTTTCATCACAATGTCTTTATTATCTCTGAACAGTGCTATAGGACTCTTGGTTGTTCATTTTACACTGACTTCCAGGCATGTCGCAGGAAGGTAGCATTGTCCGTAGGGGCTCAGAGGCATCATTACTCTGGCATAAAAGAGTTAGAAAGAAGGGCTCTTGCTTGTAAAGAATGGGCCAGATGAGTTTTATATACTCATTTAAAGCATTTATATCACCTTTTCTCAACAGAGCAGAACTCTACACAATTTTTAAAAGTACAGCAGCTCTTTTTTGTATCCGACTACCCTAGCTGCATTTCCTCCTGGCACCATGGAGTTATACTAGACATTTCCCCGATTATTGTTCTTTGCTAGCAAAATATGAGTCAACTTTCCTAAATGTTGTTGTAGACCACAGTGGCCACAATCATTCACAGCCAGCATGGCCAGTGCTTGGGGATGATGAAAGCTGGAGAGCAACATCCTAAGGCCCTGTCCTAAAGCATGGCAGCTTCTTTTTTAGGAGTTTCTGATGCAGGCCCAGGACATAGTCTTCAACAGTCACACACCTACATGATTCTGGCCCAGCTACCTTGGCAGCTGAGTTTTTTTTTTTAAAGGTTAAAAAAAAAAAACACTGAATTGGGTTCTTTAGGAAAGGCACTGAAAAAAGACTGATATAAGAGGAGGCCTGAGTGAAAAGAGATAGATGAAAGGGGTGAATCTAACCTGAGAGGAACAAGAGACAAATGCTGTCACTAGAGGAAGGAGCAAAGGTAGGAAGCGAATGACCTCAGTGTGTGCAAGGAAGAAATGGGGAACATAAGGCAAGACCTTCAAATGTAAAAGATAGAAATCTGATTCCTGTGTGGAAGAGAATATAGAATCAGGGTAGGAAATTGCTTCAAGAATAAATTGGGAGAGAAATTGTTTTAGGACACACACTGTTCATTTAAAACCAAGCCAATCCCCCCAAACTGTTCTTATTTACAAGAAGTTGGTCAAAAAATTACAACAACTTCCTGGAAACGTGTACCCCACGCACACTTTCTTTAACAAATGGTACCTGAATTCTTATGTGTTCCACTTGGTACTGTCTTTGGCCTCTGGAGAAGTACCGTCCTCATGGTTGTTGCAAGCTGCCCCGAGGCTTCGGCGAATGGGGCGGCATAAAAATGTTTTAATAAATAAATAAATAAATAAATAAATAAAATGGTGTTACATGAGCCATGACCTGTGCCAGGCAGAAAACTGGATGCAGACTGAGGAGACCTAGGTTCAAATTCCTACTTCTCCAAGGAGTCCCTGGGTGACTCTGAGATAGGAAATATCTCATATCAGCCTCTTTCACAAGGTGTAAGAATCAAGTCAGACAGCCCCTCCCCTGTCCTACACTGAGCCCCTTGGAAGTAAGGGCACACATGCAATAAAAGGTGCGTGCTTACACACAAGTGACTCCCATTGACTTCAATAAGGTTGTATTCCCAGTAAGTACACATAGGATTGCTCCAATAGTGATGGTGATCAGAAGACTGTTGCATTCTTCTTGAAGCAAAGAAGAATAAAAGACTCCTATCTTTTATTTTGACCTTTATTCTGAGCCCAGATGCATCACAAGCATAATCTGTCACATCAGCATCAGGGAGTGTTATTCTCTGCTGATATTGCAAGAAGTACTTAGTTAAGAGAAGTCCAAAGGACTGCTGAGTTAAGTGGTGGCAGCAGCATCTTTTTTTTTTTTTTTGTTTTGAAATACTACCTTTTCTGATAATCATTTAGAACTTTTCAGGCCCCCTGAAAATAATCAGTTTTGTTTTCTTTCCATCTCTACCATTTCGTTTTAGAGGTCTATAATTTGGTAAAAGATTTCTTTAAAACAGCCTCAAACATACACCATTGCACTACATGAATTACATGTAGGTCCAAAGCCGGAAAAAAATGAATAGCAGCTCAAAATCTTGAAAAAAATTCCAAGGCTAGTGATGGGAGTCATAATCCAATATTTTGCAGGACACCAGACTGGAGAAATCACATTTCTCAGCATTATTCATTAAGTTAAATGTATGTTATGTGAATGACTATTTCCTCTGGGGATATTTTGCAGGTGTGCTGCCAATCTGTTTCATTTCATAACCCCAATTGCCAGTGGTCTACAAGCCTTCTGCAACGTGGTGCTCTCCAGATGTTTGTGCTACAACTTCCAGCTTCACTGAGCCTGAGTCATGCAGTCTTGGGTTGAGGGGCTTCATCGTTCAGGACACTTGGAGATCACCAAGTTCTGGCAGGCGAAATACCTGCATTTTTCTGCATCAATTGCTCTGCTCATTCTGGTAAGAAACAGTACACAGCCATTTATCATCAGCAAAGAAATACTTCCAGGTAAAGGTTGTCCATTGGGGGTTGCCGAAGCTCATCACTGCATCATAACCAGGACCAAGCTTGGATGAAAGCAGCTTAAAGGAAGCTGTTTCATTCAGGAAAACCATAGGTGGAAGAGAATTGGTGGCAAGAGCTTTTACTTCAATCATCTGAGGAACATGGATCAGTCAAGATCAGCACATACATTACAAGTATTTATTATTAAATGTATATTCTGCAAGTGATTAGTCCAACAGGACTCTCTAGGCAGATTACAGAGCAAATAAGATCAACACATATATACCAATGAGATAACAATAAAACATAATATAAAATAAACCAGTAAAATAAACAAAAACATAGCACCA